GATAGACGTCTTCTAGTTTGTATGAAGAAAGATTCCAACGCCACTAAAGCGCCGGCTTTTAAGTCCCTAACCTTTCCATGGTTTCATAGCACATGAGGCAAGTCCAACTTCGGATTTTCTTCTCAATTTGGGTTCTCCCGCGAAACCCTTTAGTTTTCAAATTTCCGAGCAAATTTGTTCAGTGAATTTCATAATGAACAGCAAACACTAGCCCTAGGAATCGGAAAAGGTTCTACTTTTTCGAAATAACTTCTGATTTCAGCCAGAAAGACTGATGACATTTTCAAAAGGATATGATATTAGATCAGATGTTTGGTCTCTAGGGATATCAATGGTAAGTGGATTACCTTTTTTTATTTTTTATAAAATTAGTATCCAGTAATCCTTGACCTCTTTTATGATTTTGCAGGTGGAAGTGGCAAACTTCGCCTTTCCCTACCCAGGATTCACTACGGTGCCATTGTTCGCTCAATTAGATCTCGTTGTGCACGGTGATGCTCCGATGGTATCTAACCCTCTTTATTCGACGAAAACGAAGAACTTTATTCATTACTGGTAAGTGTAACAGAGCTTTGGCGTATCCAATACTGGTAAAAATAACAGTAATCTCAGCGTCCTTTGAAGCTGCAGACCTTAAAGCCAATTTTATTCCGATGGAGCATTACGCGGCGTGTTCGGTGTTTTTCAGCTAGCCTGACCGCATACACTATAGCGCGGAAACCAATTAGGTCTTGGTGCGAATGCCGCGTACGTGGCGAAACGTACAACTGCCACTTTTGGCTCGGAACTCCTGCCCGCACCAATGTCACTTATACGTACTGTGACGCGCGCACATGGTGGTCGCTCCACCACCGTACATTCGATTGTCTCATGTTGCGGGCTTAACTGGAAGTGCAGTTATCAGAACAAGAATGCTAACTTATGAGCAAAAGTCCTAGCCTCAGGAGGGAATTGAACCAGCGTGTTATGCTCAGCGGGCGGGTGTTCTACCGCAGCAACACAGCGGCACACGCGTAGAATGGGATGTCTCGCGCCCTGTCATTTGTTTCGGGAAATCGTGCATACATTTGACTACCGTATACAATATCTTAGCATTGCGGTTGACTTTTCCATCCTCCGGCGCTGAGTTAGTTAGGGCGAGGGCGGCAACACTGGATCACATATTTCTTGTTCGTCTGCTCTCTCGGCCAGATGGTATTCACCGTAGCCTGGGATAACTTGGACGAGCAGAAAACACACGTTGGCTTGCCCCTAGCACCTCAACATCATATGAGTGATGAGTCACTATGATTATAAGTACAAGAAAACAGACGGGATACAGTACAGGAGACTGCTCGTATATTTGAGTGCGTACAAATGCTGACTGCACACTTTCCACACACTTTCCACTAAGGTAGCACCTGGGTACAAGTGAAGAGTGGAATGAGGACGCCTTCGCTTCCCGACTTCACCTAGGAGCTTCAAATCTAATTTGGGCAATTTTCTACGGTACTATATCCCTCCTGTTTTCCCAGACTTATAATCCTGTAACCTTATCACCTTCATTCCCCAATATGCCTTGTATTTTACAGCTTAACGAAGGATCAAGAGAGTCGACCTACTTTTGCCGACCTAACAAATACTGCCTTCTATCAACATTATAATTCAATGGACAATTTAAGTGAACTGGTTGGAGCATATGTGGCTGAAATACTAAGTAAAATTGACTCACTTTAGTATGACTGCAGCGAAAGGCTTTAGGATAAAGAGATTCCTGTATGTACGTGATTAACTAGTTATTCTACAATTCGTAGTAAGAGAGCATTTACACTGTGATGATTTTTGACCAAAAAAATCGCACTCATATCGCTCACATTCATCATTTTAACGTTCTCGTCGAATACTGTCTTTTCAATACGGTGAATTAACTACTCAACAGGTGTTTTACTATGACGTTTTGTATGTCATTACTGTTGTACAATTAAAAAATCATTGTCATATTTGTAATCATGTTGTAATGTTATTGAGCGCCCATCACGATTTCACCCATGATTAGATAGAGTACGTTCACAAATTACCGTATTTCTTTCAAGAACCCTATGCCCTTCAGTGTATGGTAACTCCCAGTTCCTGTTCCGTTATGGATCCTGTGTTAGATCACATGCTTAAAACGGGGTGTGTGGCACCTAGATTGACCGCTCGCCGCCGCGGTCGCACGCGACCGGTGTGCGCGGCAGTTTGCGCGGAAGTTTGTCGCGCATTGTTGTCGCAAACGTGAAGGAAGACACACATCCTGGGAAGCGCCTGTGATGAATGATCATATTTGATCGATTATTGATCGTGTTTGGTGATCTTGTTTGATCAGCTACATTTAGCAGTTTGCTGCAAACTGTTGTGGAACACTTAATTTCGTGTTTCTCTTCATCCTACTCCATACGAGGTCATATAGTAGGAGCGTGTGGTGAACGTCATTAGTGGATACTCTATTTGTATGTCTTTAAACTGTCGACAACTTTGTTTTGTGTGAATCAGTCGTTTTTCGTTTTGTTCATTGTTGTGCGAGTAAATATTTTCATGCTT